GTACTCTGTGATTTGTTACCTAAAAATGCTATAAATTTAATTATAAGGTAAATGTATAATCATATTTTGTAAATCTTGATTGGTATACAAAAATACATCTGTAACCAGTTTCAATGGAAAATAAAAAAGAAGCATTTATTGCATCGTAAAGCATTTTTTGCGAGGAGCATTTGAAGAAGTTAAAGCTTTCAAATATCTCCACGGTAAAAAGTTCCTGAAACCTGACTGTACATTTAGAATTATTATTAGCCTTTCGGAACCATAAAACTTGCAAACTCAGTTGCGCCTTCATGATTCGAACCACTGACTTCCCACTTATAGCTGAAAGTGGTACTCACTTACACCACAGGAGCACACACTAGGAGATCCGATAATTCCCTGCACATTACAGAATGCAACGTAAATTTTACGCAGATGAAATGAGAAATAAAAACTTAATAACAGTATATAACAGAGATAGAGCAACTTTATGTAAGTATGATTCGCATGCTGGAATACAGGAGAGGCTCAGCTACATTTTGCAAAAGCCCCAAGTCCATATTTATATCATTGTTAAAGTAGTCAAACGGATTTGAAATGAAAAGAAACATCTGATAACTTTGTAAAGAGAAATGAAATAAATCAATTACTTTTTTTGGACATTGAGTAGTTTTATTTTACCATATTTCAAATATTTTATTTGCATGCGAGCCACACTAGCCTGCGAGAGTAGCACGCGGCTCGCGAACCGCGCAGTGGCACACCGCTAGTATATAGCAGAAAGGAGGTAGACACATTATATAGAAACATTTTTATAGTTTTACAGATTCATAATCTAGTTAATTTACGCGTTATTTTAAGAATTAAAACTACAGCATATAACTCAAATTGCAGTTTGATATTACAGAGCTTTGTAAGGGCATGAATTTTAAAATTGCAGAAATTTCACATTAGTATTGATTATCAAATTCTCTCATTTAATATCTAAAATGAAACTCAAATAAACTTCGTATTCCAGTGTTTCAGATACACAAAAATGTATTAGAGCTTTTTCAACATAACCATCTTCCAATTATATATATGATTAAATTGGGGTTTGAATTCCTACTATATACGGTTTAGTTGAGGCTGATCTAACAGAGCTCTCATTTCAGCCTTTATTGCTGCACTTTCCCTTCTCACCATGTAATGATGTTGTATTATGCCCCCTCCCATGTCTGTAAGCAGTTATTATATTTTCCTTTGTGAGTTCTCATGAGGTGACAGGCAGTATATCCGGCTAACATTCCGGAGATCTGTGGTTTGAAACTCTGCGACCGAAAAGGTGATTTTTCAAGTCTCTTACTCCTAATAACCTAATTTAGTGTTTAGTGACGCTGTCAGCCGTAACGAAAGGCCCGGAATAGAATCCCGCAGAAGGCATAGATATTTGTAAACGTATAGTGTCTGTGAGGCATCGGGATACTATAAATATACGGCGAGACGAAAATCCTTTCGAGAGGTTGGTTGTAGGGGAGGAGAGAGAAGACCGTCGGACCTGACCCCCAAGGGTATTTACTTTCTGTACTGAGATAAAAGTCGGGTTGTCACCTATATGGTGTTCAAGGCTCTTGCCAGCGACAGGCTCATACGACTCCTTGCTACGATTAATGTCGTGGGCTTGCGCTGACCGTTGTCAAACACATGAGACTGGTAACAACAACAACAGCCTTTTAAATGGGGATGAATGTAAGGAATTACTGCTATTCTGCACACCTTCCCTCGATGTATAACTGGTAGCATTCTCGGGAAGCATTCGAAAGATTCGTGTTCAGAATCCAGGATAAGATATAGCTACTTTTTCACATCTGCTACTCCGAATAACCTAATTAGTCCTGCAGTGACTCAAGACTAAAATATGTGGACGATAATTCCTCATCACCAGAACTCGGCGGAACTTGGTCCCGACCTTCTCTAGTGAGTAGCCTTTTAATTGCGGATGAATATAAGGAATTGCCATTTTCCTCTGTACTTTTTCTCGAAGTGTAACTGGTAGCATGCCCGGCTAGCATACGAATGTTCCGTCCTTCTAATTCTACCCACGGTTATATCTGTTTTTCCCGTCTGTTATTCCGAATAGCCTAATTAGCCTTATATTGGTTCCCAACTAAAATGTAGTGGATGATAATTCGTCACTACCTCAATTCGGCGGAACTAGGTCTGGCTCCTCTCTATTCAGTAGCTTTTATGTGGAGATTAATACAGGGAATTACTTCTTTTCTTTCGCACGGTCTCTCGACGTGTAACTGGTAACATTCGGGAGACCACTAGACCGACTTTCGAAAAGGTATAATTGATTTTTCACGTCTCCTACTCCGAATAACCTAATTAGACCTGCAGTGGCTCCTTAATAAAGTCTTCAAAAGGATAAGTCATCGCTACCTGAATTCGGTCGAACTAAGTCTCTCTCCTTCCTTCTCAGTCACCATTTAAATGAGAATAAATATAATGAATTACCGCCTTTCATTGATAGTTCTCTCGACGACTAACTGGTAACACACCCGGCTAGCATTCAAAGATCCATGGTTTGAATGTTGTCGAGAGTATAGTTGACCTTTCATGTCCCCTACTTCAAATAACCTAATTTCCTACAGTAGACCCCGATTAAAATGTTCGGAACGATAATTCATCACAACCTGGATTCGGCGGAACTAGGTCTCACTAGTCTCTCCTAAATAGGCTTTTAAGCGGGGATTACCACCTTCATCTGTGTGTTCTCTCGACGAGTAACTGGTAGCACATCCGGTTAGCATTCCAAAGGTCCATGGATCGAAACCCTTCGAGGGCATAGCTGATGTTTCACGTCTGCTACTCCGAATAACCTAATTAACTTTATTAACTCCAGTCTAAAATAAGGTGGACAATAATTGGTTTCCAACTATGGATTCAACTGCCTGGGTCTCGCTCCTTTTACCACAAATGCCCCTTAAATAGAGGAGAATATGGAATTACCGCCTTTCTCCGTGCGTGTTCCGGTGGTGTAATTGGTAGCATGCACGAAAATATCTCGGAACATCCGCAGTTCGAATTATGTTAAGCGTATGTTTGACTTTTGACTTTCCCTTTGCTAGGGAAGTAATCTACTTCTCTATAAGGTTTCTTGTCTTTTAATGGAATATTTCAAATAATGCGTAAAACTTATTTTTATTTTGTTATAGCATGCGTAAAAGGGATTTTCACTTTCCTCACCGAGTGCCTTCGTGATGTAACTGGAAGCACACTTGGCTAGCAATCGCACAATCCTATGAGGAAAAGGCTGATTTTTCTTGTTTCTTGATGCGATAAGTACTCGACAACCACCGACTAAAATCTGATGAACAATAACCATTAAGGTATCCTACCTCGTTCGAGTATCTCTTTTTAAAAATAATTTTTAACTATAAATATATTACTTTGAAGATAAGCATATTAATGAGTCAAATCAACTTAAAAAGTAATGTTAGGTAATTTTAAGTTTGAAAAATAATGAAGAAAAGGATAATTTTTACTTTACGGCAACAACCACGGAAAAAGTTTGAGTTATTACTGTTAGCAATACTTACCAAAAAATTGCATTTTTCAGAAAACAAGTTTAAATATTTCGTAAAACAATTTCTTAGTGCAAGAAACGTTTCTGACAATTAAAATTCCTCCGTTTTCTATCTTAGACCTTTCTTTTCTTCATATACATCATGCTTTTTTTCGAACAGCACGTATTTTTTTCCTTTGTGTTTTTGCAAAACTTACGGAATGCCGCACTCCTGCTCAGATTAAAATACAGCACCCATATTTAACCTTGAAATTACTTCAAACAAACCTATAAATCTATCATTAAATTACAAAACACTTACATTTGCTCCAAAAATTAATGTTCACAAGTTAATGAATGTTTCTTTCGGAACGATTTGCCATAAAATGCCATTCAAACATTCATTGCATGCTATTAAAACATTGGCATTTTGAGTTTAGCCATGAACACACTTTTTTATCAACTCTTGTTTACACAACTCCATATATGTAGGTTTAATTACATTTAAAATATGTGTTGGTATACCAGAGTTTTTTTTTTTTTTTTCTGCAATCGCACGCTGGTAGTTGCTTTAACTCGTTGATTCAAGAGGACATTGGCCATGTATTTACTTCGAAGAAGAGCTATACAGGAACAATGCAGCTATTACATCCTGTTTGCATCTCAATTAAGTTTCCAACATTACTTCTAATTGTAATGCCATAATAATGGTACAGTTTATCCGTAAAAGAATCAATCAGTCAGTTTACATTTTCCTTTCAATTCAGTAGTGGATTGTTTTACTTTTCGCAATCTGCTTCCAACCCTTCAGATTGCAGATTCAGATGAAATGGGCATGCAAGAACTGGTAAGGGGATAAGGCAAACGTTTTAATAGTGAAGGTAACTTTACAAAGTGATAACATTAATATACTATTAGACTTTTGCCAACGTTGAAACATTTTTCATCACCCGTATTTTTATTTCCAAGCTCTTCGGAACTTAAAAAATAGGCCTCTTATTTCATTCTTTTTTCGAAATCTACTACGAATAAAAGGAACCCTTTTACGCATATTTATGATTAAAATTATCAGTCACTTATTATATTGAAAATTACTGGACAGTTGCATATTTTTAAAACTATATTTTGTAAGCACAGGAAAGGAAATATAAAATTAAGTTATCAAATACTCGGTTCAATGTAGGTGGACATAAAAGACAAGTTTACTGTAACCTTCTTCACAGTTTAAGGACAAAGCTAATGCAGTCTAGGCCTTTTATATATTTTTGGTTTTATTAAGGTCCTGTCAGGAATATGATAATAACTTATAACATGTGAGCTTATTCCCAAATCCCCAAAAGTAAAAAGTGCTTACAAGAAAGAAATTTATTTGGGATTAAGAAAAAGAATATAAGGATCAAAAAGCACTTAAAATTAGAAAATAAAATCTCTCAATTGCATGCCTTAATTGAGAAAATGAATGAAAGCCACTTACCTTATGGAGCATTTTGTCGATAATTCCTTCGACTGATGTCTCCTGTACGTCTAGGAGGAGCACGGCCTGGTTAAGGAACTGGTCGACATCCATGGATGCCCGAACTTCAGCCGCAAAATCCTTCATTGGCAGCCTCTGCAATACAGAATAAATCAAGGCATCATCCGTGGGATAACCAGGCAAACTTCGCCTGCGGCATCTTAGTCGGACAACTTCTGATTGAGCATCAGAGGAGCCGATCGCGCTACTGGATGCGTTACCGGAAATGTCCCCGGTCGCGTTCCCTGACGTGGACGCATATCCTACGTCTCTCTCTCGTCGACCCATTTCGGTCAGAGGCACGACAGTCACCTGCTCTAGGGACATATCGAAAAAAATAGTCCAAAATAGAAATCTTACTAACTTTAATACTAACCACTTTTGGCATCACCGATTCCTAACGACAATTTTAGAATAAAACATCACGCGCTTTATAAAGTCATCTGAATTTAAAATTCAACACGAGTTTAAAATATATAGATTAATTGAGCCACTTTTGGTCAGTTTCTTTATTCCAAAAATTTTAAAGCTCGCAAAGATTTAATTCTTTTTAAAAAATTGCTCCACCGTGCTCCGATACTGGAATATAAATAAGCGACTAATCCTCTATGTAATAAATTTTGTGTCTCAAATATAAGGTCGAGGCACTTCTAACGATATAAGTATATATTTTATATATATGTATATATATAATATATATGGAAACGTTGGTGCTGTTAACGATTATATAAAATTTCTAATTTTCTAAACATAACCACATCCATGTTAAATTTTAGTGTACACCGACGTCAATTAAACTTCCGTTATTTTCAAAAGGAATCCTCGTAGAAAATTCATGTATAAAGATTCCGGAAAGAGCATGCCGTAACCAGAACTTGAAGTAAATAAACGGGCCTCGCAAAAGCAAGACCCGTCCGTGGGCCAGGTTGGGCCGGACGCGACTTCCATAAAGCTCCCGCTCGTGTACCTATCCGGCACGTGTCCACGATGCGGAGGGATGCCAAGGTGATGGAAGCCAAGAGCGAGAGTGAGACAGAGCGCAGAGGATGCGGAGATCAATAGCTCCTCCGCCTCTTCCTACCTCCGTGGACCCGCCAATAGGACGGCGACGACCCAAAATCATTCATGCAGCTAGAGATGCTTTCGTAAACACATCCAGCCGGCTATTGGCGCTTTTTTACGCGAGAGCAATATGTCATAATTCGCAGTACTGCTCCTCCTCCGTACCTTCTTACTTCTTCTCTCGAATTGAAAATACTCCTTTTAAGCTTCTTTGAATTTGGAACATTCGCAAGTCCTTATTAAGTAATACTTTTGAGTTCTTTACATCCAAAAGTTTTTTTAAGAAATCTATCACGGTCACAACAGCGGATTATGATCTTACAAAACATAAAACTCTATCGCGATCTTTTTCATGAGCGCATTTAATTGAGCAGGAGTTCTTTACAGGGGGTTCGAGAGCAGGCCTTGAAGAAATCGATTGAGTCACCTTAGCGTGGCTCACTTGTTACTGACGGCCTTACAGGTGTTAGGCAGAACTTCTTTTGTAATATTTTGTTCCTCTTCAATATCTAAGAGTAGCTTTGTTTCGAGCGCAGTATTTACAGAGGGCAATCCAGAATCTGCTTACTGGGTTTCTGAAAAAGTTTGACTTGTTGAAGTAACTTGAAAATGTGTCTCAGTGTTTGCACGTTCTTTAGCACAAAAGCGCCAACTACTTAATCCGAAAGCATTAAACTTTTATAGTTTGAGGTATAAACTAACAATTTAGGCATCATTTTAATCATTTATTTAGCATTATATAGTTTCAGAATCTTTGAGATATTTTGCATCATAACACTGTCATTTTTCTTCAGTTAGTTTATTTCCTTCATTAACATGTATCCCACTGCACATATATACATATTCGCCCCAATAATTGATTTCTGTGCGTTTTATTTTGCTAAACATTTTAAAATCTCCTCCGAAATATGAAAAGTTGTTTAAAGTTTTGGTGCTTAATACTTCGAAACATTTAATAAGAAAAAAATTGAATGTTTTGAGAAGAGTATATATTGATATTAAATTCTTTTTTCTAGTTAGTTATGCTTTTCTCATTGGCTGTTTATTATAAAATGGGAAGTTTAAATACCTTATTTATTCTCAGATCTCTTCTTCTCGCATATTTTCTCATCAATGATTTCGACAAATAGTTTAGAAGCTTCAGATTTGTGGCAACAATAGAAAATATGCGTAGTGCTTGACTCATCAGGTCATTTGTTACTTTTTGAATGTTCAACTTATTCATTTTTTTAAATTTCTTTCTTTTTACTTATGGAAACTGGCTAAATGAGAGACGCAGTTAATGCGCTTGTGCATATATAAATATGTATATATACATTAAAACCTATTTACCTATTTTCTTGCTACTACTAATTAGTTTATTTCACAAAATTGCAAATATCTTCCTGTCTTGGTAATGTTAAATTTTCTCACATAATTTGTCTTATTTCGTAAAATTAAACATCTCAATTTCGCAATAATCCTTCGATAAAATGTCCCTTCCTTCAAGAAAAATGTAATACACCGACTTATCATGATACTAGTTTCCAAGAAAACTCAGTGAATTCTATAATTAAAGCGACAAGAAAGTTTATCTCTCTCTTTTTTTTTTTTTTTTTTTTTTTTTTTTTTCATATTACTTTTTAAGAACGTAGACTGGAAAATGAACGTAGCATGGACGAATGGAAAAAGAGAAACGCTTGCTTTTTAGTTCACCTTTTCTGTGTCCTTCAAATGGTATAGTTTTTTCTATGGTATTAGTCAATTTTTTTAATTAAAGAATTTTTAAATAATGAATGAAAATATTAATTAATGAAATATTTCAAGAAAAATATGTTCACAATATTCATAAAAATGTAATTTACATATTGCATATTAAAATAAAGTTTAATGAACCAAATTTTATAATTTAACTGAAATTAAAATTTAAATGATTAAGTTTTAAAAAATAATTTAATCCGAATTCATTAAATTGAATTAAAATATAAAAGTAACTGAATTTGATTATAATACAATTAATAAAATTACAAATTTAGTATTACTTTGTGTATACAAAAGATTGTTCGTACTTCATGGAAACAGTTTTTTATTTAAATTTTCTTATTACCATTTTCAATTAAAATTTCGATTGAAATTCAGAACAAGAACTTTATTTTAAAATCGATCCTAAAATTGATAGCTTGCTCGAAAATTACGTAAATGCATTTTCACGGGAAACGTATTTGTAACAACAAACTGTAATGTTATGAAAGAATTTAGGTTATTTCATTTTAAAGAAACTTATTTTGAATATTTAATATATTAAAGGTAAAAAGCGTGTAGCTGAAAGACTGAAAAGACCGCATCCTAAGTTTGTACAAACATGGGTATACATCAAGAAAGTGAAGTCTATAATCCTGAACGAAAATCTACCGACTCAAAGATCCACTGCATCGGAGCTGGAAATGTCTTTTAGCACTAAAAAATCTTTCATGAATAAAAAAGAGTTAAAAAAAGACGTTCGAAGTTAAAGTTCATTTGCTATTACCAAAGCATGTTGCAGAAAGAAAAATTATAAAAAATTGTATCAACAACATAAGCAAAACACGTAGCTGCTGCTAAATGAAAATATGTGCTCATACTTAGTTAAACTTTTGCATACTTAAGTGAACCATTGATCAATTTATAGACGATTTATAGATCGATTATAGCCAAGAACCAAAACTCTCAGGTAGAAGCAAATCGCCTTAAGAAATACGTCTTTTCTGCATAAAAATTAATTATTAAATTCTTTTCTATAAATGCCAGCGACTTCACTAGCCATAATTTTCAAAAATGTTTTAAAATGTTTTCGTTTAAGAAAGCTTTTTTTCTTATTTTGGTCCCTAGAAAAATTTCGAAAGCAGGAATTGGGTTCTGTTGTACACACACACACACACACACACACACACACACCACACACCCACATATATATATATATATATTACTTCTGAAGATAGACTTTAACGTTTTTCTTCATGCATGAGTTTTATTGATTATTTATTATTATTCTCATAGTTGTTTTGCTTAAGCACCCGAATCCCTTTTTTTTGTCAGTTATTTTTTTGCTACCTACTACTTACCATGCTTAAGAATCCAGCCCTTCAGTGTAAGCAATTCTGATCCCATGAACGTTTTCTTGCTTCAACGTATTTATTTTCTCCCGGAGTGTCTCGTTTTGGTTTTGAAGGTTTTCTACTTTTCTCCACAGTAGGATAATTCACTCTTTATATACTTTTGGACAGTTTCATTTATAGACTGAATATATTGTGTATTAAAAAGCACTAGATATCGATTTCGAAGCTTAGAAAACTGGGAAACGCCACTAATACTATTTTTAAACTTATTTTTATAGAAATTTTAAGTGGCTGTAATTTTGTTTTTATATAAATTAAAATCTCGGGGTGGCACTTTTATAGGGTGCTTTCTCCCTCGTTTCTGCATGCTTTTATGATGTAATTGGAAGCATACTGGACGCGTATTTGAGAGGTCATAGCACATTTTCACAACTCTTGCTCAAACCAAAAACCTGACTCTAAAAGTAGCGCCCGAGTCACCACCAGGATTTGGTCGGTCGCACTTAGAAGCGCTCTAACACCAGGGTGCCTGGGTCAAGGACCCTACCCTTTGTCGAACATGTAGGCGTTTTTGAATACTGTCATGAGTAACTAGCATACGATATAATATTTTTTTCATAAATTATGATAATATTTTTGAGTAATGGGATAATAAGATATTCTAGCAGAAATAAAGTGTGCGCTGAGTTCCAATAAAGACCCGAAAATGCCACCTGCGAGAGCCGAGAAAAGGGAAAAAGAGCTGCCTTTAACCTGAGTCTAGAGATACATATAATACATACATACAATACACATAGTGTGAGTCAACTGGTGCACTATATTTTATGACTTCTGCTATGTAAATCATAGCAGAAGTCATAAAATACAGGTAAAGTAAGTCAAATTAAACACTATGTATACTAAGTATGGCCATCAGCCGTTTACAGTTATTTGTGTCATTTACATCATAATCGTAGACCC